AGAACATCAAAACGATGCTGCAAAAAGTTATTTTAAATCAAAAAAGAATTCTGTCCTGTGTTCAAGACGAAGACGAACAACGTCTGGATGATTTTGATTTTGTCCCTTCTGACAAGTTTCCTCTCAAGACGGAGGATGATTTTGAGTTTATCGAAGAATACCTGTCAATTAAAGTTCAGAGGCGTGAGGCTGTAAGTAACCTTTAATCTAATCTAATCTTTGATTTATTAGTAATTTTTGTAACAAATTTTTTGTTGAATATTTCATTAGGTAAAGTACTTTACAAACTACTATGCAGAAGACTGGGATGAGTGGAAGTTCACTGGCAAACTCCTTTCCAAACTCATTTCAAATGACTTTGCCAAAAGTATCAGTTGGGAGGGTACTGAGGGGTCAAAAATTGCCTTTAAAACCACCAGGCTCAACCACACAATAAGATGTATGTGTTCAAAATAATAACTAATTGATTTCATATTTTGGCCTTACTTGCATATTGGTAAAGGTTTCATTTTCATTGCAGTGGCTGTCCTCAAAATATTCAACTCTGACCTCAGTCAATCAGAGAAGAAAGTACAGAGGTGGTTTTGCACCAGCAAACAACGCGGTAAATGATTCTCGCTTCCTTTTTGTTTTTTAACTTTGTTCAAGAATTAATTATTTCTTTTGACTGTATGTTTATCTGAAAGGGTGCTTAATTTCAAGTCTTGGTAGTCTTATTTTCTGTAACTGACACAAGTCTCGGGTAAACAGGAATATCAATTTAATTTGTCAGTTACACTGTTATGTCATTTTGTCTTTTTTCAAATGTCGTTGAAAGATAATGTGTACATACAAAATTTAAAAAGTACTTTATTTTTTTAGCTGATTTGATTCAATAATGTAGCTTTGATTTCCATTGAAAAATAACTCCACTCCTGAGGATTTGTCTCTTAGCAAAACATTTGTCTTTGTTGTACATTTTTGCGACTCTTTGTAAATATAAATCCTCCCATACCTCTTATCTAATACGTAGACTCCTTGGACTGTTTATGACTGTAATTAATTCCGATATAAAATTTACAACAATTTTTCAGCTGCATCAGTTGGTTTGAGGAAAAGTATGCTTGTTTTTTTACTTTTGTTTAAGAATGAATTTATTTTTGATGAATTCATAGAATGTTCAGAAATTTATTGAAAAGATTTGTTATGTTTGCTTAAGAATATTTATTTTTGTTTGGAATCTATTTTTGATCTTGAATATGTTCAGAAATTTATTGAACAGATTTGTTATGTTTGCTTAAGAATATTTATTTTTGATCTTGTTCACTAATGACGAAAGAAGTCTTATAAAACTTTTGTTTCAATACGTGAGCTGAGTACTGCTGTGATGAGTGGTTGGTAGTAAATATGTATCAGCTTGCAAAATTAAACATTTGGATGAATCTCACCTTGTTGTTTTCCTTTTGAAACTCCCCCTGATACCATTAAGATTTAAGATGGGAGAAATGATGAATTGAAGAAATTAGGGTAGAGGTCATTTTTAAGTCATTTTTTATACAAGTCATATTGATGTCAATTTGACTTCATTTTGAGGTCAAAATTCAAAATTAGATGAGGTCAAAATGATGAACTAAAAATTGACTTGACTTTGACATCAATTGATGTCAAAATGACTTTTTTCTGTCCCCTGGGTGGTTGGGCCGTCCCTCTCAAGGACAAGTCAGGCCCATCTATAGTTAAAGGATTTCAATCCATTTTCAAAAGCACAAATCGTAGACCCACGCGTCTGTTTTCTGATAAAGGAAAAGAATATTTCAACAAGACATTTCAAAAATTTCTCAAAGATAACGACATTTTGTACATTCACACACATAACCCTGACATCAAATGTTCCGTGGTGGAGCGCTGGCAGCGCACCATCAAGTCCAAACTGTTTAAGCGGTTTACTCACACTGAAAACAATAATTATGCCGACGGACTACTCTCTGATGTAGTTAAGGCTTACAATCACACTTACCGCCGTTCTATCAAAATGCGCCCCGTTGACGTGACGCCGGAGCGTGTCCTGGAGGTATATAATAACCTGTACCATGGACTTAGCCTCACAAACAAGAAAACTAAATTTATAGTTGGTGATCATGTGCGAATCAGTAGAGAAAAACAAACGTTCGAAAAGGGGTATACGTGGAACTGGAGCGAGGAAATATTTCAGATCGTTCAGGTCATTCCTCATTCGTTGCCGGTGTACAGGCTGGCGGATCTCGGTAACGATGCGATTCAGGGCACGTTTTATGAAGCAGAGCTTCAGAAGGTCAGCAAGCCCGAATCGTTCAAAATCGCATATATAGTGCGCTCCAGAGGAAAACGGGATATTCGTGAACACCTCGTCCACTGGAGAGGTTATCCTGAAAAAAGTCGATCCTGGATTTTGGATTCCGATTGAGTATGATGGATTTCTATACGTTTCTACCGAGTAACGCCAGTCCGGAACTTTATCCAGACAATACGACATCCCATTTTAAAACGGGGCTCGACCAGCGTATGGAGCTACGCGGCCATTGGCAGGCAGCCCTCGTCGAGCTCCATTACCCTAACACGATCGCTCATGTCGTGGCGGGAGAAAATGAAATAACAGTTGTGTCAGAAAGTGTGGTCGATACAGCATCTGTAAGACCTAGCTCTTATAGTTCTGCCACAGATTTCCTTATCAGTGTCAATGACACCTTGAAATCTTTCGATGAAATGACATCGGAGGACAGGGTGTACTACGAACTCACCTCAGACCAGCGAATTATTCTTGCTCCGTTCGACATGGACGAAAAATTTAAAGTACATTTTTCCCCTCGCTTGGCTCTGCAGCTAGGACTCGAACACGAGGGGCCTTACCCCGCGAATCAGAAAACATTCGGTGTAAAACCAGTCGACATTAGTTTGGGGATGCCGTCACAGATGTTCGTGTATATGGACATTCTCTCAGATCAGATTATTGGTCACACTCGCGCCCCGCTCCTGCGCACGGTCCGCGTAGACATAAAAGCAAAACACGGGACGATGTCGGTGGTTCACTTCGATCACCCGATTTACTTCGACCTAAGGACGAAATCGTTCGACAGCGTGGAAATATATATAAAGGACCACGCAGGACGAAATACACCATTTCAGTTTGGAACGTCAACCTTGTTGGTTCACTTTAGACAACAGTCATGACTTACCAAGATCAAATTACTCAGTACTATCTCAGACAGGCAGGCGGCGGCCAGTACTATGCTGGTGCGACGCATCAGAAAGGCCACGGGATCGGCTCATGGCTGGGCGGGCTGTTTCGCACAGTATTCCCTCTCCTCAATAGCGGCGCGGCCGTTGTGGGGAAGGAAGCGGCCCGGGCCGGAAGTCACATTCTCGCTGATGTAGCTAGCGGTGATAATTTTAAAGAAAGTGCCCTGTTCAAAACCTAAAAAGAAAAGCGGCCAGCACCATGAGTGGCTCTGGTAGAGCTATAAAAAGACCAAAGGCAGCTCCGAAGCGTCATTCAGTCGCAAGACTTCGTACTAAAAGGTACTCTCCCGACTTATTCTCGTAATGTCGTTCATGCATAGCTCATCCCCCTAGGCTCTGCCCTCTTCCCTCGATGTCTTTCAAGACGAGGTCACTCAATGCGGTGAGGAAGAGAGTAAGATGCAGGAGTACAGAGCTACTTCATCCAGTCTGGATTCAGGCACGATAGAAGTAGAAGTACAGGGCGTGGGTCAAGCTTATCAAGACCCCGCACTCATGTATCTGTACACAAAACAACAAGCAGGCCCGCCCTTCCGCCAAACGGAGTTGCCAGCTCCACTTCGCTGCGCCGGCAACTCCGTTCGGCAGGGGCCGGGCCTGCTTGGCCTGCCGGCGGCGACGCTCGGGCCTGCGGCCCGACCGTTTTTGCTAAATTTGCTGAAAAACATAATCAAATGATACAGCGGGCCTTCGGCCCGCTAAAACCCGCCGTCATTAAAATTTGCCCCTTAGGCGCATGAGAAAGGAATGTAACGGTGATGCACCGTGACTACAACCCACCCTTCTGCTTAAAAAAACTTCTTTTTTAAGGGGGGGGGCTTCCTGTACAATTAAATGTTAACTGCAGCAGTTTTTAGCTTATTTTCGTCAAAAAAGACCCTCCAGCGCCCAAACGGTCAGAGATAGAGCCAAACGGACAAAATTT